GGAACAAAACTAAGTAAATTAGCGGTTCAAATTCTGGGAATGCCTGCGACTAGCGCGGCTACCGAAACAAGTTTCAGTACATATGGTTTCATACACTCTTCAAAAAGAAACCGACTGACAGCTGAGCGAGCCGGTAAAGTTACTTTCATAGCTCATAATTTAAAACTATTGGACCAGGACCAGGTATCAGCGATGTCCAAACGGTCCAAATATGAAGAAGAGAACCCTTCTACTTCGCACTGCCAGACGAAGGAGAGTCTTGAAAAAATAGAGGCAGTGAGAATGATATTGGAGTCTGACGATGGTGATGAGTCGGAGGCGTCAGAGAATGAAAACTGTGATCTGGAAATTTTTTCTGACTCAGATTCATTTTCTTAACTTCATTTTGTTTAAGTCTGTTCAACTTTTTACTTTGTTTTTTATGTTTTTGAAATAACGAGAATATTTTTTTATTTATCTCCAAAGATGGAACATAAGTTATTATATTTTGTTTTTGTTAATTTTCAATAAAATCTTAGATTTTGTGTAGGTTTTACTACTTCTAGTAGGTCGTTATCAGAAAATTCTCATTATTGAGAATATTCTCGAGAATATTCTCAATTTTTTTGTTCTCGAGAATTTTCCATCACTACTAAGAACGTATATTTTTGTTTCAGGATGATCTTCCAATATTTCCATGTTGGACCAGCGAAAGATTGCAAGCCGAAAGAATGCGGACAAAAAATTGCGAAGTTGTCAGATGTTCTACATAAAATGCGGTCCATACATATTAACATATTTAAGATATAGAATTGTTCCGCTGAATTTGGCAATGTAGCTGGAAAACCCAGGCCGCAGGTAAACATCCGGTCGCTGATTGGTCCAAAACTCTTATCTTATCTGAAACTAGAATAACGTGCCGATGGCACGGTCATTTATAAACCTACTCCCATAGGCGTAGGCAGTTGGCAAATACTTTGAAAATATAATTTACTGTTTAGTGGTGATAATGGAATTCAAGCATGGGAAAGTTATTCACAGCCAGGCAAGGGAAATAATAGCAAACGTGATACGTGCTTGCGATGCAGAAGCGGCTAACAATACTTTCGTTTATCCACTGGTAGCTAGAAATGCAAGGGCGGCATATTATACGGGTGTTAGTGAACGAACTATAAGTAAAATTAGAAAAGAAGATAAAGACAGGCAAAATGCAACCTCCACACAGCCTTTAGCTTCTCCCGGAAAAAAGAGATCACGCCCTTCTGTGATCCAAAAAATTGATGGAGTCGATTTTTCCATTATTCGGAGAATGATAGAAAAATTTTACTGTGATTTTAAAGTGGTACCTACTTGTAGTAAACTTCTAATCAAACTGAAGGAAGAAATGGAATTTCCATTTGGTAAAGAATCGTTGAGGCTGCTTTTAAAAGCAAAAGGATTTTACTGGCGTAAATGCCACAACAAAAGGAAATTACTAATGGAAAGACCCAGTATTTTACATTGGCGATACAAGTATCTTAGGTCTATTAAAAAGTTCCGGGAAGAAGGAAGGCATATTATTTATTTGGACGAAACTTGGGTTGATAATGACCTCACTTTCAAGAAATGCTGGCAAAGCGAAGAAATTATGGGTGTCCTGAGCAATATAAGTTCTACAGGTAATAAAGTTTCTTTCACCTCGATTTTGCTTATTATACATTTTTCTCAATTTTGGAATATTCTTAATAAGTGCTCATTTAATTTGTCTAATTGAATACATAATCCCTTGCAAGTATTTTTTTCTCAAAAATATGTTTTTTATACATAGTGATTCAAAAAGGTGTTGGCAAACTTAAAATAACACTAAAATGAGGCTATTTATTCATTTCCAGGACGACTTATAATTGTTCATGCGGGTTCGCAAGATGGTTTTGTTCCTGGAGCCTGTCTCATTTTCAAGGCTGGCTGTGCCACTGGTGATTATCACGGTCAAATGAACCAAGAAAATTTCACGAAGTGGCTTACTGAAAAACTATTTCCTAACATTCCTCCTAATAGTATTATAATAATGGATAATGCACCTTACCATTCAGCTTTGGAAGACAAGCCTCCAACTAGATCTTCTCTAAAAAGAGACATCATCACGTGGTTGAGCAAAAAAGGTATAGAGCATGATCCTAATGCTAAAAAAATGGAGCTTTATGAAATAGCTTGTCTACATAGGCCACCATCTGATGAGAAAAATTATAAGATAGATAATTTAATAAGAAGTTTCGGACACACCCCACTTCGAACGCCACCCTATATGTGTCAGTTTAATCCCATAGAGATGATTTGGGCACAAGTAAAATTTTTCATTAGAAGCCATAATACAAGCGGCGAATTTACTATAAAAAAACTAGATGAAATTTCTAATAAGGCCATCGCTTCAGTAAGTGCCAGTGACTGGCAAAAGGTTATTGGACATGTTATAAAAATTGAAGATGAATATTGGGAAAAAGACAGTCTCATTCAAGAAATACAGGAAGAAATAATAATCAACATAGGAGGTGAAAGTGATAGCAATGACAGTTCCTCAGACAGTGATCATGACTCTAATCAGGATTGAAACTATACTAGATTGGCTACCTTTTAGAATTTTTAGATATTCATTTATTATACTATTGGTTTGTGGCTTTTAGTATCTCAGTAGAAAGTCTAATTCTATGTGTTGTTTATGGGTTATTTCATCAAGAAATTACTTTTTGTTTTCCTATATTTTTCTATTCAGTCAGATATTTTTGACTTGTTGTATTCTATTTTAGAAGAATGCATAATTTGTTTTGCTGTTCAATCATAATGCGTACATAGGAATATTACTTGTTGCCTAAAAAATATATTTATTTTGTTCTCAATATTCAGTGTTTGTGTATATTTATTTCTTATAATGTATGTTTGGTATCACGTCATTATGAATCGCAAAAAAATATTAATACTACCAGTTGTAATAAAATATAAATTCAATTAATAATTCAAGTCTCTCCGATCTCCGCCTATGACTCCATATAAAATCGTCTAATGGTAAGGTTTTTTCATCGCATTTCCCCCTTTCGTCCCTAGCAATCTTTGGCTGGTCGATCAATACCTTTTTCATCAATAAGAATGTGAAGAGAAGAAAATCAAGTTGTCGAAAATACAGAGCGAAAAAACTTGAGGAAGAGAACAAGAAAAAGTGACACCTGGAAAAAAAAAACAAGCGAAAATATTTCATTAACACTGGACAGTCCTACCTTACCTCTGGAGGAAGAACAAAAAGAGCGAAAGTGCTGCAACCGCCTTGTGGTGAAAAATGCAAGTTCAAATGTAGCCAAATGATAAATCATGTAAAACGGCAGCAGATATTTAAGGCGTTTATGACAGTGGTGATAAAACCCGACAAAGAAATTTTATAGTGTCTTTGCATGGAAAAAACACAAGAAAGAAAATATCGAAATGCCAAACCTGGTACCACAAGAAAGTCTGGCAGTGCAATTATTAAGTGCTTCTGTAGTAGAAGCGCTTTGTTACTGTGAACAATAATTGAACTTGGGAGGATATTGCTAAATTTATCAACATTATAAATAACTGTTTTGACATTTTGAATAGTAGATCTCTGATTCCTCCAGGTTACAAGTCTCTATGCAGTCGAAATATAGATTCAACAAAAACCTGTATTGAGGAGACAATCAATTATATATCATGTTGAAATTTATTGATGGAAAAAAATTGATAGAATCTAGGAGAAAAACATGTTTTCTAGGTTTAATTATATCTCTAAGAAGTGCTTTGTTGATGTATAATGATATAATTTTAAATAGAAACGAATTAATATATTTGCCATTATATAATGACTAGACTACCGTGAATTGTTTTTCTCTTCAATAAGGTCTACAGGTGGTTGGAATAATAATCCAACAACTTGGCAATTGACTTCCGCCTATAAAAGACTACTTGCTAGAGCAAAAATTAGGGAGGGCAGCGAGGGTAATTGCATCCCGCTGGATGATATACCAATTTTCACCCAATCCAGTAGACTGAAAATAAAAACTCCAATGGATAATCTAAATGCAAATAATTTCAACTTGTTAAATGAAATTCGGGAGCAACCTTCTTTTCAAGCAATATAGAGGTACCATGACTATATAATGAATAGTCATATGATAAGTAAGTGTTCCACACAAATAATAATTTATATAGCTAGTTTTTGGTTTAACTTACCCGTCTAAAGACGTTATATTATATTTTAATGTATTCAATCGGAGTTCTGTAATAATTTAAAAAGCATGTTTTAAACTCTCCCACTAATCATATATATTTACCAACAGAATCTGTTATTTCCAAATACCTGAATATTAGGATACATTTCATGAATAAACGAAAATCGGAAATAACAGATCCTGTTAGCATAATTCTTGTAACCTATTTTATTTTGTACTTATGTGTAGTTACTATACTCTATTTATATAGATTTTAATTGTTTTCAATAAATTATCTCAGTTCATACTATATGTTCATTAATATAATATAAAATAAAAAAAATAAAATTATTTTTAAATCACAATATAAAATGTGCAATCAACACATTAAGTATGTTTTAGGCATTTTAAACAAATATGCTCTCAATAAAAAGCCTTACTATATATGATAATAATCGTGTTTACCAATAATTGAAATTTACATTGTAATAATAAATTATAATTGAAGTGTCATAATATTATAACGCACTATAACTCATACTCAATACATGTTTCTGTGTAAACTACATTTTTATTTTTAATAAAAAACATCGAAATGTACCTACTCTGTGTGAGATTTGAAACTTTCATAAATAAAAAGCGGAGATGGCTTGTCCTCTCTCTTTTCTAGTCTAAGGAAAATGTGAACACATTTTGCTTTTATTTTCAGAAGCTCAAATGTACATTACCAGTTTATTTACCGTCCTCCATTGTCTGTTATCGGATAATGTAAAAAAAATTATGAAAAAACATAAGCTAATAATCTTGACACATTGTCATTTTCGTTATCCCCACTATTTCGGAGCGTATAACATTGAATAAAGCTGGTGCATGGGGGGCAGGGGATTTCAAAAATGAGTAGCTCAGGTGCATGACACTCTAGAGCACTGGAACGCTATTGGCAGGTGGTGGATAGCTTCCAGTTACCCCGAGTAACACAAATGAGGCACTGGAAAGCGGCTAAGAATAACAAGGTCAACTGTCAAAACGTATGTCTATCTCGGGGTAACGACGGACGAACGTCATGGCGTCAATTTTCATTTTTTACGTGTTGTCGAACGATTTTGGGAAAAAATTCGTTTCTAGAGCCTAGTAGAGTATATTTCAACAGTTGTCTTGCGTGCCCATGAAATCTTGACTTGGGCCGAACTGGGTAAGTGAAGAAAAAGAAGTACAGTAGAGCGTCGATTATCCGAACGTCGATCAACCGAACGACCGCTTATGCGAACTCCCGACTCTCCCCTCTCCCGCGCCCCGAGCTCGTGTGCGCACTTGTTTCGACTTGTTAGTTATTATTCATATGTTAGTTACTTCTGAGTAGCCGCTAGGAAATAAACTAAATTTTGTCGCGTGAAAGTAAACACTCGTTTGAAAATGCCTAAACGTAAGCGTGTTGTTCTTTCTATGAAAGATAAATACGAGATTAATAAACGGTTAGAGGAAGGTGAATCTGCAACAAAGTTATCCAATGAATGCAAAGTTGGTAAGTCACCATTACGGATATAAAAAAACAAAAGACGAGCATATGTAACTTTATGTCCCAGCTTGATTCTTCTTGCCTCAAAAACGGATTTAGATGATGCTGTATATAAGTGGTTTACTCAGAAAATATCCCAGGGAGAACCTGTTTCTGGTTCGATTCTGTGTGAAAAAGCACTTCAGTTCAACGATAAACGCAGAGGTCCATCAAATGTTCAAGCAAGCACAGGCTGGTTGAAAAGATTTAAGTCGAGACATGGCATTCGTAAGCTGCAAATACACGGAGAAAAACTGTCGGCTGATTCATCAGCAGCAGATTCATTCAAAATCAAACTAAGGGAGTTACTGAAGGAATAAAATTACGCCCTCGAAAACGTTAACAATGCAGATGAAAATGGGCTCAATTGGAAAGAAAAACTATCGCAATACAGAAGAGAGCAGGCTCCTCACAGAAAATATCTTCCCAGTGATGTAAACATAACACTCGTGTACGAAGATTTTAGACTGAAATATCCAAATACAAATTTTTCTTACGAATTGTACAGAAAAATTGAGTACTAATGACCTAAATATATCCTTTGCCAATCTGGGAAATCAAGAATGCTAGGACTGCCAAGAGTTTGAAATACACAAAAAGCCACATCTCATGAAGCTGATGTAGATGGTAGAATTATTTAAACACAGTTTCCTTAATTTTCAGGTGACCATGCTGCCTTATTTGGAAACATTCAAAGAAAATATTTTAGGCCACGTATCGTAGCATATGATGAGAGCTTGGACAGAAGTCCAATAGGTACCTACCATTTGGTTATGTTGTGGTGTGAGAGAATTGTTGGCAGATCCAAAGATTGAGAAGATTATTTCTACGTTCTATGCTTTTTTTCTGGCAAATATCGACATTAAACATATAACAGTTTGGCTTGATGATTGTTCGACCCAAAATAAAAATTGGCCCCTTTTTGGTTTCTGTATGTATTTGGTTAACAGTTCAGAAGTTGCTGTAGGAAATATAGTACTCAAGTTTTTTGAGTCAGGCCATATTTTCATGGCAGCCGATCCGTTCTGTCCCATCCCCAAGTTGAGCTTACCACCAAAAGAAAAAAAATGTGTACGATGTTGACGATTTTTGTGAAGTGGTAAAAAAGCCAATTCATCAAAAGCTAATTTAACCAAAATGCAAATTGCACAATTTTTTAACTTTACTGACTAAACCTCCAAATATTACAAAAGATTATTTTTTATTGAATTAAAAGATTATAATGAAGTACGTTAAGGGCACCCTAACGAAGCCGTAGGCTCGTAATATATGTCGCAGTGTCTTACAATCCTGCACTTATCACTATTTGCGCGATCCGGAGCAGCATTATGGCGAAGGTATTTTGGAGGACTTATACGAGCTACGAATTGATGCTGGAGATTTGGTTTTAAAGAAACCTTATCAATCCGTTGAGATTTAAAATGAAGTTATCGGAAATTGTGGAGATGTTATTAAGGCAGACATTACGACAAAAGTAAAAAAGTCAGAAGCATATCTGGATACGAAATCTATATAAAATATAAATTGGGGTTTGACGGTTGCTCGACGATGTCCGGAAAAGGAGGAGTACAAGCAATCATGCGCAAAATATACCAAATATATACCAGAGCTTTGTTCTTGCATTCCTCGACCCACAAATTAAATTTAGTAATTAATGATCTCAACATTCTTCCCGAAATTCGAAATGTCATGGGAACCACCAAAGATATCATTACATTTTCTCGGGAATGAGAAACATAAAACCATCAGAGTTTTCATGGAGAATTTCCATAGAATATTGGAAGCCTTATCGCGAGAAGGAAATAGTGCCACTCGAAAAAATGCCTTTCAACTCCATGCGGCTGCTTCCAAAATTTCGTTTATTCTTGCCATTACTTTGATATCCAAATACTCTGCTATGTTGGAAACTATTGTGAACGTGCTTCAATCCACAGCCTTCGACGTTGTGAAGGCCTCGCAACACATTAAAAGCATTTTAGAATTACTTAAGAGCCATGGTAGGAAAACAACGGAATCGAAGCAATCACCCAATAGAAAACCCTTCAGAATTCTGGAAGAGGCCAATGATAATACCATACTTGGACTCCATTATTAGATCCCTTGAAACACGTTTTCCTGATGACAACACTCCAGCATTTGAATTGTCCAAATTACACTCGGTGCAAATGCAAACGATGTCACTCGACGAACTCAAACAAACTTGCCAAAATATCGAAAAATATTATAATTAAATATTGAAGTCGAACGTTGGCAGCAAACTTAACAAACTTAACCGTTGTTGATGCCATCAAAGAGGCAAAAACTTTCTTCCCGAAACAGAAAAGGCGTTGAAAATTTTTATCACTATACCAAGCACAACATGTACGGTAGAGCGCTCATTTAACAGCTTCAGGAGACTAAAAATCTGGTTTAGAAGCACCATGGGCGAAAATCGCTCGAATGGTCTGGCCATGATGAGTGTGCACATGAAGCTGAAGCAAACTTGGAATTTCATAATAAAGTGGTCGAGGAGTTTGCAAAAAAAAGAAAATTATGTTTCAATTAAAGTATACTGTATTAGACTTATCTGTATACTCATTTAAGAAAATATTTACTCAAACTCTTATAATAAATATAATAACATAATTTAATTTAAGTTTCGTTTTCTGTACAGCAAAGAGCTCGTGGAGATTCACAAATTGGACTTTAGACTGTTCTTATCACAATCACCATAGGAATACTCGTACTACACGTGTCAAATTTGATGTGCTATTGACTTTACTTGGGCCATTGGCTGACGACGCCCTTGAATACTTAATGGATGATGATCTTGATTTTGTAATGGTAGCGACTTGTCATACTTGCAATACTTTCTGAAGCTTTATCTGGTTCCGAATAAATGGAATGGAAGAGTGCTATAAAAAGAGTTGGATGCTCTTAAAGCCAACAATGCATGGGAGTTAGTCGATAGACTACCTCAAAAAAATATCGTAAAAAATAAGAGGGTGTTTAGAGCACCGCTAGTTGCTAAAGGCTTTACCCAAAAATGTGGCCTTAATTATACAGAAATTATAAAATATTTTTATCTTTCTTATCCCCCAAGGCTAATAACTGCCAACGTATTTTTCTGTACCAGCGAAACTTCTAGAACAAAATTTGGTGGAAAAACTGCCAAAGAAGCTAAAACAAAAAGGACCCACGCGTTGGAGCTCATCATAATTTATGGTTGAGCAGTTTCTAGAACTAGAAATTTCAATCCGTACCACAATGGCTCTCTTTAGCTAGCGCTGAAAGACACACACACACATATGACCATGTCTCACTTGAGGCACGACAATCTCATGAAAATGCTGCTTAATGGTTTTTAATGACGTGATCGTGCAGTGTTGCTTTCAATTTAAAAGTTTTATTACAGTGTTTACATCTATTACAAGTAGACGTCTCTGAATGAGTTAAAATATGCCTAACATAATGACACTTATTAGTAGTCTTGTACATACATTCTCCACATTCGTGTAACTTGTTAGTAACTGATGTAATAAACTCAGGATGTCTTCTAACTATATGGGCATCTAATGCTACTTTACTTTTAAACGATTTATTACAGTGAGGGCATAGTCTAGGTTTGTAACTCGATTCAATATCAGGGTGTTTCAACATATGCCTGTTGAGATGACTTCTAAGAACAGTTGTATAATCACATTTTGGGCATTGTAAAGTTTTCCTAGTAACTGATGTAGAGGTAATTGGATGTTTTTTTATCAGATGGTTATCCAGAGATACATCAGTTTTAAATATTGCATCACAGAGAATGCACGAAAAACTCTTTCTATCTGAATCAGTGACGTGGTTTACTGTGACATGCTTATTCAAATTATTCTTTACCGTAGTTTTATACGAACATTCCGTACATTCATATATTTTTCTATCAATGTTTGTAATAAAATCAGGATGTTTCCTAACTATATGGTCATCCAATGATGCACCACTTTTGAATGTTGCATTACAATGAGTACAAGTGATGAGCTTACTGGAAACCGTGTCGGAATGTGTTGCCATATGCTTAATCAGATAGTTTTTTGTAACGGTTTTAAAAATACATAATGTACATTCGTATACTTTTCTATTTATTGTTGTGATAAAATTCGGGTGCTTCTTAATGACATGATCATCCAATGCTGCTTTCCTTTTAAACATTGCATTGCAGTGTGGGCACGTTTTGAATGTAGGAAGATTGGAATAGGGCCTGGAAAAACACAAATTCTTACTTATTAGCGTCACTCCAGGAGGCTCATGGAAAAAGTCGTGTTTTTGATTTTTCTCATGGTAATATTCACCATTAGAACCATGTTCAGGCATCGTATTCAACAAAACCTTAGATCGATAGCATGAAACATATCGTAGGTTTATAATTTTTCACGTATGTTCCAGAACATAGATTAAAATAACTTTTTTTCTTGTTTGGAGAAGATACTCACGACTAACTAGCTTATTCAGTTTTTGGAAAAGGTAAGTGATAAGAGAAATCAAATATATAGAAATAGGCACTCGATCAAAATTCTGCAGAAAAATTAACTTGTTAATTGGAAAAGGTTTGATTTTCTTAAACTGGCGTTCTAAAGATTTTATTCAAACAAACGTTACGATGTCCTTCTAGATTGTATTATCTATCCAGATTAATCTATAGCGAAGAACGCTATTTTAGCTCCATGGCATCTGCAATAGCTAACGTGGCTGCTAGGTTAATTTTTATTTTGAGAAATGTGTAACAGTTTTTGTATCAGCCTTATTTTTATAAAATGCAAATACAAATAAAATATATATTTACTACAACTGAAACTCACCCATTCAAAGTTACATCCGAAGTTGCATCCACGCCTACTCCACCTTGACTCTTGGTAGTGAAACCTCCAGTGATTTCTGTTCCCTTGACGTCTTCACTATCCACATCAATGGCTGGGTTTACTTCACTAAGATGAACGTTGAGATCTTCGTTATTACTTGCGGTATATTCATCTATATTATCAAGTTCACTATATTCGTTTTTAATTCTGGAATAGATGGAAAATATTGTTTATTTTTGATCTTACTCACTCAATCACTATAGACACGAAATTAATAAACCGGAAGACGTTAACAACAATTAAAGTTACACTGAACATTGATTTTTTGTAACTTGATTAGGGTTAGTTTCTATTTAGAGTTACCAGGGGACAAGCTAAATTTAAAGTATTATCTGTAAGTTCGGAAACGGAAAAAAAACTTGTACTCATGAAATTTATAAAAACACGTTTATTTTATATTTAACCTATAAATGCCTAGTAACTTAGTATGAACATGGTATGTAAAACATACACTTGTTGTGGTAAGGTGTGCTTGGACAACTAACAAAATGTATTTAGTTCTAATTTTAATGCTGAAGTACAGCTCCGATCAATAGCTGTTGTATACACCCTCTCGAGTGGTCGATTCTAGTGATAGATGGACCTTTACTCTGTCGTCCTCAGATACATCCCATAATTTTCATAAAAGGTAGTCGCTATGCTTTCGTTCGTTGTCTAGAGACGATTGACGCCTAGACCATGCTGATGAGTAGCCAAAAGTCATGAATCACCTGTCCATGGTTGGCTGTCTTCGGTCCGACGGACGGAAGCATTATGTATGGTTCATTCAATCGCAAGTAGACCATATCTACGGAAGTTAGAATCGTCAGCTATCTAGCGATCACAGTGGTGACTGGGCGATTGAATGTGAACTGAAAGTACAGTTTAAACCAGTAGCTGCGCTATGCACTCTCTCGAGCGGTAGATTCTGGTTATAGATGATGTTTTTCGCTGTTGTCCTCAGATACATCCCATAATTTTCATAAAAGGTTGTCGCTATGCTTTCGTTCGTTGTCTAGAGATGATTGACGCCTAGACCATGCTGATGAGTAGCCAAAAGTCATGAATCACCTGTCCACGGTCGGCTGACTTTGGTCCGACAGACGGAATCATTATGTTTGGTTCATTCAATGGCAAGTAGACCATATCTACGAAAGCTAGAATCGTCAGCCACCTAGCGGTCACAGTGGTGACTTGGCTATTAAATGTGGACTGAAAGTACAGTTTAGACCAGTAGCTGCTCTATAGAGCACTCTTTCTCTCTCGAGTGGTAGATCCTTGTTATAGAATGCGCTTTGCATATTCTTACTCAGATAGGTCTCACACTTTTCACAAACTAAAGTCGTAATACTTTCATTCGTTGTTTATAGATTGACGCCTAGATCATGCTGATGAGTAGCCAAGAAGCTACGAAGATTGATTGTTGAATTGTTTGTTCATAGATTTTAAATTAACGTTTGCAATTACATTCTCAAAAACCAAGTACTAACAACATATCAGCCATTAATTACTGTATGGAGCTTGTTGTAAAACATAATCTGACATAACATCCCTCATTTTCGCCAACTATAAATGCCCGCTAGATTTTTACACTTCATGTAATGAGACATTTTTTTAGAAACCAGGTCCGAAAAACATTTTTTCTCGAAAACTATGCGAGGTGGACTGTTTTTATAGGAGACAAAAAATGGGGTTAATAAAAGGATCTTTTAAATAAAAAATATCGTTCATTGGCAGAGTTGGGAAAAAATTGTTATAATTAATGTAGGGGTGGGGGTAGTTTTCACCCTTCTCGAACCATTTCGGGTTTATTTGCAGAAATTAAATGTTAGGTCGTCTAGCAAAAAAATACGTGTTCCAGATTTCATTCAAATCGGACTATCGGTTCCGAAAACATCTGAAAAAATACGTTTCAAAAAGAAAACGTTGACGCCCTCTAACGAACAAACGAAGTATACAGTTCTATTCATAAAAAAAGCGTACACGAATTAGAATGAGAGGAAACCTTAACCTTATTTGCGTAAAACCGGCTTGTCTAAATGATTGTTTATTGGAGGTTATCACACGTCGTAGATTGTCAAACATGCAAAGCTATGACGTCGGTGTAATTCATTTCGAAAATGCGTGGTGGTAACGTTTGATAAACTTTGACAGAAGAAAATAAAAATGCCTCGTCAGTTGTCTGAAGTTGAAAAGGCTCAAATTGTATCAAGAATCGAAGAAGGATGGTCAATCCGTGCTGTAGCGCAGTTGTATAATAGAAATAAAAAAACCATATTGAAAATTAAGCAACGCTGGGAACAGGAAGATTCCCTAAAGAGGAAAATTGGTTCAGGTCGTCCCAAACTTACCAACCCTGAACAGGTTGCTGCTTTTTTGGGATATTTAAGAAATAATCCATTTGCAACTGTAAGGGATGCTGTTATTGATACAGCATTTCCTGCCTCCCAACCTACCGCCAGCAGGAGAGTAATGAAATCTGAACTAAAATGTCACCCTGCTGCGAAAAAAATGTTTCTTAACGAAGAACGGCGACAATCAAGGATTATTTTTGCTTTAAATTATATATACCGCAATCCTCAATTTTGGAACAGGGTCATTTTTACTGATGAAAAGACGTTCCAGTCGACTTATAACGGCCAAATTCGTGTTTACCGTCCAAACAATACCAGGTTTGAAGAGCGATATACTAACCCCCTCAATTCTAGACCTGGGCGTTTCTCTGTAAATGTATGGGGCTGGATAAGTGTTCATGGACCTGGTGTTTGTTGGCGAATAGAGGGAAGATTTAATGCCGGAAATTACATTAACATTTTAGAAAACATATTGTTACCAAGTGCTGAGCAAATATATCCCAATAATACGTTCATATTTCAACAAGATAATTGTCCAGTTCATACGGCCAATGCTGTAACCCACTGGGTTCAAACCGATAATGTGGAAGTGCTGCCTTGGGTCGCTTATAGTCCCGATATCAATCCAATCGAAAATATTTGGGGTATAATCGTAAAAAAAATATATAATCGAAATTTTAGGCCACAAAATTCAGAAGATTTATGGGAAATAATACATGCGTGCTGGGAAGAGCTTGATCCAAACATTGTATCAAATATAATTCAGTCAATTCCGAATAGACTGGCTCAAGTAATAGAAAAACAGTGATATATGACCAAATAGTAGATTTTATTTATTCTTGTTAATCGTTTTTTGTTTCTATTGTAATTTTTATAAAACTGTTAAGATGTAAAATAAAGAAATACATTTTTGTTACTGTATTGAACTAATGCCCCACGCCCATGCTTTGCATTTTTAATAACCTTTAACATGCGATAAGCCGGTTTTACGCAAATAAGGTTAAGGTTTCCTCTCATTGTAATTCGTGTACGCTTTTTTTATGAATACAACTGTACCTGTATATGCATAGAGGCAAACCATGTCCAGTCGACTTTTTGATTCTAAAAATACGCCGTAATTCTATCAAAATTCTAATTTGAAGTTGAAAATTTTCCGTGTGAATATAAGAAGCACAAATCATAATATTGGTTATTTCAAAATACTTCTTAACAGGATTCAGTTTGATTTCGACAACAGAAACATGACAAGTGCTCGATACTTCTTTATTCAATATACACAAGTATGATATGCTGTACAACTGTGGAGCTGATAATCAAAACGATATAGAGATAGATGTAAGAGATATTCTCCAATATAGTCATGATACATCTGATTTCACCAACGGAATTAAAGCTTTAAACATTTTCTCCATATAGCAAAAAAGTTCAAATTACTGCAGTGAATTTAAATGACAAATTTTAACTTGACTGTGTGGGAAAAATGTAAGTTTCGCAGATGACACAGCAGTTATTTATAAAGGTGATGATTGATCCCATTTAAAAAACTATAATTGAAAATGATTTTGTCAAAATTACCCTCTATCGTAAATAATCAGAAATTGAAAATTAGTAGAGCATCAGATTTAAAATATCTTGGAAGTTAGATGTCTTGTATAAAATTAAATAGCTTATACTACACCTTGATTGAGCCATATTTAACCTACGGTATATTGGTATGGGGAGCTACATGCTCAACTCATATTAATGATTTGGATATTTTTCAAGAAATGATTTTAACAAACCAAAATTATATCCAACTGATATCTTATACAAAAATATAACGTATGTGACTTTATCTCTTACATACTACAAATTTATTTATAACGACTGAAAAATTAAACAATCACCACACAAGGCATAAACAAAGAGGAACAGTTGTACCTAGACCAAATAAATCTACAACATAACGATCATACCTTGATTTACATTTCCCTGATGATATCTAGGGCCTACTATTTGGGAATAATTTCAAGAGAAAATTAAAAAAATGGATTTTTTTCTCTGGCAAGATCATACGTACACAAATTAGTAGTAAATGTAAACAACAAATAATTTATTTATTAGTTGTATATTTATTCATACTTCAATAATATGCAGTTGCAACATTGATGGTCCATGTAGAGGCTATGCCTCCTATGGACCCTTTAGGGGCAAATAAATATTATTATCACACCATCTGATGATTGCTAAAAATCACAAAGCGATGTTGTGTATCCTATTTAGCCTGCATTTATTCAATGCATTTTACTGAAATAAGAAAACCATTACAGCTGTATAGCAAAGACACAAATATAGGAATATGGTTCATTTGTTGTTTTACACAAAATTTAAGATATCTCAAAAATGGCTGGATTAAGGGATAGGATGTTAGACTCTTGCATAGAATCCAATAACACTAGACAACAAATTTTAGTTTTTTAATTGTATCTTGTGGGAAAAGTGCACTTCTTTGTTAATTTTGGGGCGCTGAATCCAAAAATGACAATGAAATAAAAAAATTAGTTGCGGTTTAGAAAAAAAACTTTTTATTTTTAAGGATATATTAAAAAAAGTAACAAGATTCATATACTTATAAGAATCACTATATGCGCTGTCTTTTTGCTGTTCTTTTATGGATCGTTTCTGGAGCATCTCTACCAAGAGTCCAACAGTAGTCTGCAAGCATGGAAGGATTCCACTTTCCCTGGTACCTTTTTTCCATTGTTGAAATATCCTGATGAAAACGTTCGCCGTGCTCATCACTTACGGCTCCGCAATTGTCAGGAAAAAAGTCCAGGTGTGAGTGTAGGAAATGAATCTTAAGAGACATATTACAGTCCATCTTTTGATACGATGACAGCATATTTTTGACAAGGGTTTTATAGTTGTCAGCTAGAAATTAGTGACCACCAGACGGAAATCATTCCAAGCAGTTTTTTCAATACCTGTTAAAGTGTTTTCAAACTGTGTATCTTTCAAAATATTTCGAATCTGTGGCCCAACAAAAATACCTTCTTTAACCTTTGCCTCACTTAGTCTTGGAAATTTCTGACGCAGGTATTGAAAAGCTGACCCATCTCTATCTAATGCCTTGACAAAGTGTTTCATTAGGCCCAACTTGATATGCAGTGGTGGTAATAAAATTTTTTTCGAATCTACTAATGGCATATGCTGTACATTTTTTTGACCTGGCTCTAGGAATTGACGAACAGGCCAGTTTTGTCTGGTGTAATGAAGTGCCTTTGCCCGACTGTCCCATTCACACAAAAAACAGCAAAACCTTGTGTAGCCTAGCTGCAGCCCAAGTAAAAGTGCAACAACTTTAAAATCGCCACAAATATGCCATTGGTGCTCATCGTATTTTATGCATGTCAATAGGTACTTCATATTGTCATATTATTCTTTCATGTGAACTGCATACCCTACAGGAAGAGATGGTAAAATATTTCCAATATGCAATAACACTGCCTTCAAACTCAATGTTGAACTGTCTATAAACAATCTCCATTCTTCTGGGTTATAGTTTATATTTAAAGCCGCCAGTAAGCCGTTAATGTTACTGCAGAAAACCAAGTTATTCTCCATATTGAAAAATGGTTCTAAGTCTTTGTGGCGTTTACGAAAAACACATACCGAAACATCGTCTTCTAACAAGTTCCACTGCTGCAGTCTTGATCCAAGTAACTCTGCCTTACATTTTGGAAGTTCTAAATCTCTTACAAGATCATTTAATACTGACTGTGTTATTTTGTGCGGTTGGTGGCATGACGTGCTCGGTTTAAAATCAGGATCTCTTGACGTTGATGGCATATCTTCTTCCTGACGAATCACTCGATCGCCATGATCTGATTCGTTTTCTGTTTCGCAAGTGTAGGGTTCTGAGGGTTTTGGAATAGGATTTTCGTCACTGTGAGGCACAGGTCTCATCGCAGATGGTATGTTTGGGTAGTTAATAACCGATTTTTTTTCTTGGACATACCTGTGGCTTGTCCAACACAAGGTACCATGCAAAAGTAACAATCATTAATATGATTTGTAGGTTCTCTCCAAACCATTCGGACAGCAAAGCGCATAGACCGTTTTTTGCCATTTAACCAGCTGCTCAGACTTGAAGCACATGTATTACAGCAGATGTGGGGTGCCCACTGTTTGTCTTGATCACCTAGTTTACAACCGAAATAAAGCTGATATGCCTTTGTTATTAGTGGAGTAATAGACCGTCTCTGAGACGCAAAAGTCACATCACCACACACGTAACAAAACTGATCTGGATTGTTTACACACTTTCGAGACATCTTGCATGAACGCTGTCAGCTAACTGAGGAAAAAATGGCTAATATAAAACAATATAATGTACACGTATTTATAACGTAACACAATCATGCCGATTACATCATCTTTCCTTGCCGAATATAAAAATGTAGCACGTGCATTCTTGTGAATTACAGTATATTAACACTGTCACAGCAGGAACACATATAATTACCGTATCTCTAAAACTTGAACTAATATTGAAAAAACAAGTTTCATTCCGGTTTTAGCACATTAAAAATAGTAATATTTTGTTGATTTTATTTAGGATATTTTTTGGCTGTCGATCAGTGTAATGATTGAATAATACATACCTGCTTAAGACTAATTCAGTAATTAGGTTCGTATTTATATCACATTCATTTAGATTGTTAACTGCATTATCTGTCTTCATATTTACATCCACCTCAAGTGTGTTCTTATTATCTATCTCCCAGTTAACATCCGGTTCTCTGGAAAATAAAGGGATTAGACCTATCAATCAAAGCGCAAATTACGAACTTGAAGATTTTAATAGTTTTATGGTACAGATAGTAAATCTGCATACTTATTTCCTATGACATTGTGATGTAATAGCCAAACACCATGAAAAGAGCCATACTATGGAAGATAGTCTACATCACACACATTGATCACGTTAGTTCGGCATCATTATAGAATGTGTTAAATTTGTTTCCTGATTCATGCTGCAGTTTTAGTGGAAAAATGTGGAAAATAATTTTCAAACACAAAGTGGTTTTACGGCCTCTGAGTGATAAAACCGTTAGTACTACCCTGTTTTTCCGCACTTTATCGGTAGTAAACACATCGTGATAAAAATATAAGGCTGATGTTTTTTGTGAGACGTCACGTTGTTGGGATATTTATTAATTTTTAACAATAAGCTCATCTGAGCCAAAAAGGAGCACGAATCACTCGATGTAATCTTGCAAGAGCTCAACTTTTGGGCCAGTCTTCGCTGAGGTTAAAAAAACTGGATGCATGCCATAAAGTTATCACTGCTCAGAATGCTAAAATGGAAGAACCTAAGGTTCTTTGGCGTTTAAGTGAGGTAATTAATTGCAAAGACACTACCGATTCATTCCAGAATCAACCAGAGGTTAATAAATTATCCTATAGAGCTGCTGTCAAAAAGGATCTGGGATCAGAATCAATGATAAGAATTTTCTGAAAACGCAACTGGTAGCTAAAATTTAACCTGATATGCTGCAGGTTGGTTTTCAGCACACAGGAACTACAGCTAAAAGGGATGTCATCCTCAAATGTGACAGCAAGCAATATTTAGACAAAGTGAACCTAGTTTGTCACAGAACTGTACCATTACACTTCCCAAATAGCGCAATCCAAGAATCAAGGTGGTCGGCATTAGTAAAGATTAATTTAATACAGATGCAGATGCAGAAAATTGTAAAACAGAATGATCTGCAAATTGTCCTTTCAAGTTTATTTATAAATATCCAGTAAAGGATGATAAATTTGATTCTGTGCTGGAAACAGACTCTTCTTTGTATTCCACTGTCATACAAAAGGGGAAACTAAACATTGGTTGGTGTAGATGTCAGGTTTATGATTATCTTTCCATTATGAGGTACTAAAAGGGCTGTCAATATAGGCATTTACAGAAACATTGCAAGAATAAAACCGTGTGCCCTATGTTTAGTAGTGGACACGAAAAAAAGGTGTGCAAAAACAGTGTATAAGTGTAATAAGTGTAGCTCACTGAATGAAGAAATCAAAAAAAACTACGAGACTTCTCATGCTGCGCGGGATAAAAAGTGCGAATCTTTGCGCCATGAAGAAATCTCACTACGGAATAAGAAAAGTTATTTTGATTGATTTCTTGATATCCAATTTTATTTTTGGTCTATTCTTATCCCACATTAATTTTTCATCTCACCTTGTAAATTATTCTATTGAAACTAATACCGTACCTGTTCAGTGGAAGGTTGCTCATGTTACTCATTTGCCTGAAGTGGAAAATCCAGAACAACTAAGTGACTACAGACAGATTAGTATTCTATCTTTACTATCCAAAGTACTGGAGTGAATTGCATAAGATCAAATGATGGTTCATATTTAAAACTATCAGGTAGTACCATCCACTAAGGGTTCAGGCTTCATAATAGCAAAATTACCACATTAGTGGATGTTTGTGATGATTATCTTAGAGCAATAGATAATGGTAATGTCACACACAGTCATGCGTGACCTCAGCAAGGCACTTCATTGTTTACATCATGGCCTATTGCTCAGCAAGTTGCAGAGTCTGCTGTTTTTTAGTTTGCCATCTTTCAAATAGAGCCCAAGGTTGGCAATTCATCTTCAAATGATTGCTTTGCAAAATTAAAAACTTTTTGTAATTTCGGAAATATGTCGTCAAAGAATACTAAAATTAAACTAGCTCTGACTGTGTGCATGGTCCTTGTTTGACTCAAATGGAAGCCCAACAAATACAAAAGGTGCAAAACTGTTGCACAAGTTATATTTACGGCCTAAGTAGATTTGAAAAAATCTTAAAAGTATTAATTGACTTATGATGAGACAAAAACATCACCTGGGCTGTTTGGTCCATCAGTGTTACTAAGGACACAACCAGTTAACTTGAATCAAAAGCTATCTTTGAGAACATTCGTATTATTTATTTGAGATTTGTGAGTCATAACTTTGGATGTTCACAAATACAAAACATGTCTTTTCATATCTAGCATTTAATTTGTACAACAGGATTCCTTCCACTCTTAAAACCGAGTCTCTCAGCGCTTTCAAACCTGCAATGCATGATCGGACACTAGCCACTGATTTTGTACGATTTTATTTGATTCTAAATTAATGTGACTATGTAATTGTTTTGTTTGTAACTCTTATGTTTTGCCTATGTATGTATTAACAAGTTTTTTCAATGGGTGTAATTTCACTCAATTTTATTTTTTATTTTATACTTGTTTTGCAAAACAATGATAAGTACTTTTTTTTAACATTGTATACATGCAGCAATAGTTGGGATGGAAGAACAGCATTCTAGCAACAATGTGATGTAAATTGACTGTTTTGAAGATGAATTAATTTCTCAAAAAAGAAATACCAGGAAGATGTGGCAAAAGTCATATGTGCTTAGTCTACACATCACATCTGCAATTCTTTGATTTACACAAGCTGTGTGTCTTGCGCCTAGACCGAGCAATCTCACGACCGAGTAATTAAATACTCGGCGAAACCCGATACTTTGTGAAATGCGCCGAGTATGCTGAGTACCAGGTTCCATCTGAGTACTGTGTGCATCCCTAATAACTACAAGGCGTGTCCTAATTGGATGTCAATTTTCGAGTCCATTTTAAGAAGGAGACTTCATATGAACTTATGTCATAAGTGTCTACTTTTAAAATGCAGGGTGCTAAAGTTTTCAAAAATACATTATTTGTAATATCTGTAATAACCACTTCACATATTTTGATGAAATTTGGCATGCATGAACTGTGTAATGTAACATAATTTTGTAATGTCTACCAGTGGTGTGCGTACGGGATTTCACCTGCCGATTTTCGCAGACATTGGTGGTAAACCACTTATCTCTTAAAATAAAAATTCGTGAATTAAAAATCACTTCCAGGCAAATTTGATCCCTTGATTTTCACAATCCAATGCACGGTTTTCACTTAAAAATATAAAAAACGTTTCTCTACATCAGCGGTTCCTTTTTCTTTCTGCGAACCCCTTATAAAAACTGGTATATATCGGCGAACCCCCTGAGCAGTCGTTAGTGAGAGTAAATAAAACAGTACTATTAGGCTGTCATCAAAATTTATTAATCATATGAATAATAGTTACAATGAGCAAAGTAAATTAAAACATAACTGTAAAACATTTAGAGAAACGTTATTAAAACTAACTAAGTCTTACAAAAAAAGGATTAATATAATATGAATACAAGTAATTCGATACTTGCAAAAATCCTCAATGGGATATTTGTGCCCATTTGTTGGAACGAAGAAATTCAAAATTAGGTTCGATGTCCGAAAGCGTAAGTCTTAGATCGGGTTCAGCATTTAATCTATTTCTGTAAGGTAAGTGTATGTTGAAAATACTTTTTTCTCACGCAGATACGTTGTGCTTTTTCTGCTAAGATAGGGTCATTTTTTACATTGAGTTAGAAGTCTATTAAAGAATGATCTGCATAAACAGCTTTTTGAAAATTGTCAGATGATAAATTAATGAGCTTTTCTTTTTCCAATAAAGATAAACAAGTGTTAGAAATTATATCTCCTTCAAAAGGATTTCGTATCCAGTTGTTTGATCCAGGTTTATTAGGAAAATACTCTTTGAATGTTAATTGAAGCTGTTTGAGATGTTCAGTAATATCTCTTTTGATGTTTTCATTAAGTTGAATTTTATTCTCTGATAAAAAGCTGCTGAGAGAACCAAAACAATGTACTCATTCATCGGCAGACATTGATTCCAAAAGTTGAACTTTTTAGCATGGCTGGCTCCTATTCTATCATGAACATTGAAAATGGTGATTTCTGGTCCTTGTAAAGATATTTAATTTAGAAAAAAATATCGGCTAAGTATGCCAGTTGAGCCACAGAATATCGGACACAGAAGCGGACAAATGAATTGGATGGTTAAGAAAAAATGCCAGAACTTCAGACTTCAATTCAAACAAGCGGGTCAAAACTTCGCCACGAGGAAGCCACCCAACTTCTGTATGAAGTAATAAAGAGACGTGGAGACTTCCCAAGTCCTCACAAAGTTCACGGAATAGACGAGAATTTGTAGCACGGGACTTTATAAAAATCACAACTTTTACAGCTTTGCTCAAAGTACTAGTGAGTTCATTCTATATTCTCGTTGATCTTCTTTATTCGTGCCACAAGACCACAACATGTTCCAGTCATTGATTTTGCACCATCTGTGCAGACATCTAAGCAAAATGACCAGTTAGTTTCATGTTTTTCAAAATAGTCATTGATCAGATTCAAAATTTCTGCACCAGTCTTATAAGTTTCCAGTGCACAGTTTGCTTCATCGGTCGACTCGTCAAGCTGAATAGCAAAATAATTCAGTTTTATTCTTTTCAAAAGTTTACTTTCAACAATGTTCGCCAAATCGTTAATTCTCCGTGACACTGTGCTGTTTGATAATGGTTCAAGATCAATTTTTTGCCGCTTTTTCTCCAAGTATACACATTGCGATGTCTTTAGCACAAGGTCCGATCAAATTTTCTGCAACTGTATGAGCTTGTCCAGATCTTGTGATTCTGTAACCTGCGTTGTAAGCCGACAGGAAAGAAGAAACACTACAATTCTTATTACCTTCCAATTTTCTTTTAAAATATTCAATAGGATTATCCTTGTAATCCGGATGTCTTGTCTCAAGGTGCCGACGAAGAAGCGATGGTTTGAAACTACTGTTGGCCAGGACTTCATCACAAATTACGAAAAGCAGTTTAGGTTCTGACTCTTCCGCGGTAAAATAAAAACCCATTTGCGAATAGTCAGGGTCGTATTTACGTTTTTTTCCACCATGCTTGTCTATTTTCTCATTACTTTTACACTTTAACAAATCAAGAACCGAAGAAGAAGCAGTAGTTGACTGCTCATCTGGCTTTCCGTCATAAAAACTTCCCGTTTTTAACCAACTATCCATCTTAAATTCACAGAATACAATTATATTTGTTTAATTTCACGTTCGACATACGTACGGCTCAGGAAGCGCGTTCGATTGCACTCGTACTTCCGTGACTGCGTCCTTTTTATATCTCGAGGCGTTATTATCGTTCTTTCCAGTGCATTCTCAGCTCAGAAAGGTTTCGGTGCGCTCGATTCACCGAAGTAGAACTCATGCCGGATTGTTGTAGCGGCGGTGTTGCAATATTGAGGACAAATTCCGCGGAAACCATAATTTTTTCGCGAGCCCCCTTCACATAGCTCGCGAACCCCTAGGGGTTCGCGAATCACTGCTTAAGAAACCCTGCTCTACATGATCATAACAATATTAATATCACAATATCATCATGCAGAGAAATATGTTATTTTTTAGTTGAAAACTGTGCATCAGACTAAGAAAATTCAAGACCTCCCATATATTAATACAAATTTCATATTTTTTTTTAAAACTTTACCACCCTGTATTTTAAAACTTAAAAGTAAGACGTTTAAGGAGTTTTCTTGAACTGGACCCAATAATCGTGCCTTAAATATTACATTTACATTCAATTAGGAAACACCTTGTATATCTATCAGACATAAAGTGATGATGATAGAAGGTAGCACACTGAAATAGTTAAGACAAGCTTTAGGTGTAGAATGTATCACCACAGTTTGCATTTGATAGTGAAGTTATTATAAATGGTAAACTAGTGATTGTTCATTTTTGTCATATCACACACGAGCTTTGTTTCTACTCTCTAGGTAACAAACCAAAAATCACCTATCCAAAGCTGTTGTAGGGTTGGCTTCATCATTGTGAATATCCTCAGATTTAATGAATAGCTGTTGAATCATTCCTACACTTTGAAAATCTTCACAGTCTGCATTATCTGGTAAGTGATTTTCAACCATCATTTTAAAATTTCCTTTTCTGTCCATGTCATCAGTCAAGTCAGCTTTTTCCATACTTGTTCTGAAACAACAAATAATTCAGAAACACCTATTCCATATTGGCTATATCATCACAAAGAACCTGTCTATCGCATTGCATGAATGGGTTCCATCTGACACAAAAACAAATTGGATTTCCATCCAAACTTCTTGGCACTCTCCCCCCTATCCAGAGCTCATGTGCTTAGGGGCTTTTAACTGACATGGGATCAATCTGTAATCAACTAGCCTAGTGGTTTTGTTGTTTGTAACATAATATACCATATATACCCAGAACAAGGAATTGAGTATAATCTTTTTATTGACTGGCCAGATCTTTCATCACATATTGAATTCAATATACCCCAGTTTAATTCTAGGCAATTATTTTCATTTTAATCTACTGGCACTAGGACAAATCTAATGTTTAAATCACCATTATTAATAATAGGTTCACATTTGAATAAGTGGTGCACACTGACCCACTTAACTGTAAACTCAAGGAGCTGAAGTGTGCTGCTAATAATAAATTCCTGTGTATAGCATACCTAGTTTTTTTCTTTTACATTGCTCAATGATCAATTATTAATTATTGATATGATTATTCTGATTACTATTTATATTGCTGATCAACATATTCTACCTGAAAATAGCCAGCCATGCACTCTATTTTCGCATCCAAAAATATCCAAGATGAAATGAGATATTATACTAAAGTAATCTATGAGAATTTGTTACAGCTGTTTCTCATTTCCAAAATAATTAGAAATCTACAGTGCCCATCTATGAGGCACTAACCTTTGCAAAGTAGATTTCTCTCATTTCATCTTGGATAATTTTTGGGTGCCAAAATGGTTGGGTATCTCTAAGTTTAATATATAATAAACTAATAAAAATAACCAATATCTGTACCTACTGTCAGGTTACTACAGCAAAGTGGTGAACAGAGCTGATCACAGTCTTCAAGAATCTATCCAAAAAGTTATCTACCTATTAACTGTTCATCACCTGTTCATGTTGTTTGTAGGTAACATTTATCAAAACGTTTTTCGTTGAGTTCCACTCATTCTACACCGCAAAATATATGTATACATGTATATACAGTATTACCGAAAAGAAAAAGATGAAGTCATTAGACACCTAGTGCCATTGAAATTTGTGGTCACATTTTAATAAGTTGGGCACATTGATTCATTTAACTGTAAACTTAAGGAGTTGAAGTGTGCTGCTAAGAATAAATTCCTGTTTAGAGCATACCTAGTTTTTTTTATTTAACATTGCTCTGTAAAGAGATTCTGTATATGTATTGTCATATCGTTATGATTATTATTATTAATTACTAATTTTATTAAATATTATTAATTATCAATCAATCATCAATGATCAATTTTATTAATTATTGATATGATTATTCTGATAACTATTTATCATCATATTCTACTTGAAGATAGCCAACCATGCACTGTATTTTAGCGTCCAAAAAATGTCTGAGATGAAATGAGACATTTATACTAATCTATGAAAATTTGTCACAATTGTTTCTCATCTCCATAATAATGAGAAATCTACAGGACCATGTATGAGGCACTACCTTTTCAAAGTATATTTGTAATTATTGCGGTTCGGAGACTAATAATTCTCATCAATGCTGGGATATCTATTTCATCTTGGATAATTTTTGGGTGCCGAAATGGTTGGGTATGTCTAGGTACAATACGTTAATGATATAACAGAGGATGCTACTATGATGGTGTCTATATGAAACCCCAGAAGTAGTAATAATAAACTAATAGAATAACCAAAATTTGTACCTAATATACGCCGTCTACAGCACTGGTGAACAGTCTATCACAGTCTCCAACAACCTATTCAAAAAATTATCTACCTGTTAAGTGTATCAGCTATTGTCACCTTATTTTCACCAGAAGTTTCAGGTTGTTTACTGTTCATCACCTTCACCTGCTCGTGTTGTTTGTAGATAACATCGGTAACATCACAAAACACATAAGACTGGTAACATTTAGGTAAGGTAACATTAAATTTATCAAAAATCAAAATGTTTTTGTCGAGTTCTTGTTCTACCCAACAACCCAACGAATTTTCTACCCCGCAAATTCGCAAAATACACATATATACTGCAGTGTTGCCGAATCGAAAAAGACGAAATCACGAAATCGTTAGAGTTAGTGCCGTTGAAATTCTGTAGATTCAAGGACCAAATCGGTAGAAGACAAAAAGCAGGGCCGTCGCAAGATCAGCGGTGTTTCAAGGGCCTTTGAGTCACACAGCGCCGTTTATGAAAAAAAAGCAAAAGTTTTGCGCGCGCAGACAACACAGGTTTTTTGTGGCCCCCTTTTCGTGAAAAAATATTGCCTTATTTACAATGAGCATACGTGTCGCTCTTGAAACTCCTTAACTATTCTATATAGAAACTTCATGCTCCATTCATGGTTATCAGATTGTGATATTTTTGTTTTGCCCCTGAGCTTCCGAACTTCGTCACCTAGCATTTAATTAAAAACATACCATCTTTCGTTTCCTGATTGCTTGTTCGCTGATGATGATACTAATTTACCGTACCTGTTATAGGCATAAAAACAAATACAGGAAAAGCGGAGTAAGAGATGTACCTAGATAATCATAGGCAATCCAAATCTACGTTCTTCGTATGCCCGACTGTCTTAAGTGTACGCATATGTATGATTGGTATGTGGTATAAAACTACATATAATTTATTTTTTTAGCTTTATTTTTGGTCCCAGCTCTTTTTTGGCGTTCTCCTTATTTCAGTAAATAAGCTCCCATTTCGATAGAGATATCGAAAAATCGGTAGGCTTGGCAATACTGATGTACTTACACATACACCATACACGGAAAGAAGGCATATTCAGAACAATTCGACGGGCAACACGAATGACATTTGGCGCCATGTTTTGGCAGTATTAAACCGCTCCCACACGATGTGGCCAATGCCTTAGAACGTTGGACACATGGCCATTCGGCACATCGTGTGGGAGAGCGCTGACGAATTGCATGTGTCCAACGTTCGCCACATGACACGTTCGGGCTCTTGTCGGCAAATTTGACCCGTGTCAAAGGACGTTACAACGTTGGAAGCATGGTTCGTTACGCTCCCAGACCAGATGTCATGTGTTTGATGGTTTTAATTTTAAGTTAGAACCAGCAGCGGCGACAAACATTATTTATTTATTTGCTGTGATTGTGGTGAAATAGTGGTATGTGGGAAGTATTTTTATTTGAATACCTACCTTTTCATAATAATATATGTTTCGTAACTGACTTTTGAGGAGAATGGATTAAATTAGTATACAACAAAGCATACGCTGCCATAACCACATTTTTTTCATATTGCTAATATTTTGTACGTTTCGCAGGTGAGTTATGGCTGGCCTAAGGATATGTATTTTAGTAAATTATAAATTATGAAGTGCTTACAGTTTTTTCATTATAATGTCCTGTTGCAATGCAAGACTAGTTGAAAGATATATTGACTTGCATTTCATAACTAACGAAAATGATTAAATAAATGATAACTCTGAAAGTACTATAACGATTTTGATGAAATTTTGACCGTAGGTTGTTACTATGAAAATGACGAAAAAGCTCTGCAGTTTTTGAAAATCGGTAGAATGGCGGTGGAGTTATCGTCGAAAAACAAACAAAAAACTGCCAAACTTATTTTTTCGACATTTTTGAGGTTTCTGACAGACTTAAGTTTTGGTCGCTGAGGACAGATCTGAAATTACTTTTCGGCGCTCGAAAAAATTGTTTCATCGTTTATTTTGTATAATTTTTCCTTCCGTTGTAGAGGTTCACACTGACACCGATAATAGAAGTTGGCACCACCATGCGTCGTACGTCCGAGACTAAAAAGTTCATCCCATCGTGTAGGAGACACACTTGCCAATTGTAGGGTGTCGAACGTTGTAAACAACGTTGGAAGCATCGTGTGGGACTCGCATTACCATAAACATACACGGAAAGAGCGCCTACTCAGAACAATTCGGTGGGCAACACGATTTACCGTTGCCGCCATCTTTTTGCAACGAGGCGTCAACTGTAATTTCTGTCAATGCCACTGTTTTTGTTTATCTTTAAAACTGATATTTCATTTGTTTTTTTAACGCAGCTTTGCGTTGAAGAAAAACAAATCAAACAGTAAAAATTGAATATTTCACACTGTGACAAATAAAAATGAATCAATATAAACTATGACTATTGCCACTTATTTCAGATGTGATATAATAAAAAAATCCATCATATGTCAGTTTAATTGCCATATTCCTAAAGAAAAACATACAACTGAGCTTCTTCGATTTCATTTGGAAAATGCTTTGCTCTAACTACAGATGAGCAACTTTTATTCCCGTCTTAAGATAACATTAGTCGCGTTCAATTTATACAGATTCTCATATAAGCTCACCTCGCCTAATTTATTTAGTTTATTGCACGTTCAATTTACTAACTCTCCGTTTAAATATAATGAGATTCCTTTCACAACTGAGTCAAGCATCAGATTTTACAGCCTCATGTCTGACTGCCTCACTTCACTTGCAAAATGAACGGATGAACGGCGAGTCAACTCATATGAGACAATAGGAAACAAAGTGGGGTTGTTGGAGTACAAGCTGACAACATTGTTATAACCACGAAAAGTGGCGGCTTTGACTATCTCGTAGTATGGCAGTTTAGAGCTGTCATTTTTTAAATTCCCACAGTAATCCGAACTTCATTTTTATGTTGATGGCATCAATGTTTTAGGTTTTTGGTGATCACAAGTTTTACGTATTATTATAATAATTAAAACCGTATTTGAACTACATTGTTTTGTTGAGTTGATGATCTTTGGAATCTGGAATACAACTAACATTTTGGTGAAATTGTCTACGAGACCAACTCATCATTTATTTCTTCTTAGAGATAGAGAGATTCTATATTGGAAGGATGTATTTGATAGAACATTACGACTATTGACGATTTCTACATATGTGGAGTGCTATAAAACATTCAGAAGCAGAATTGAAGGCACTTCATTTCACAGCTAACCCCTGGTGAGCAGAGATATAGATAGAGTATAGTCTTTTTCATGAGTATCATGTACCTTGAAAACTGACATTGTCGATATTTTTTGTGACATTATGTAGGTTTTTTTACAAGATGTCAACTTAGCACTAGCTGATGGGCACTTGTAAACTCGTTTTATAGTTGTACGTGTTGCCTAAACGCCATGATGCTTCAGTTCAGTATCAATGTACAGCTCTGTTGTGATGTAAAATCTGCTTCAAAGATAGTATTATTGGTGGTCTAAGCTGTAAGTTGTATTATATGTACAATACTATAGCTAGAAGGAAACGGCAGTGCATACGTGAATAGTGAGGATTTGTGTGCTAATAATGTGTTGATGATAATTCCATTGGTTTCTTGTCTCAAATACACTTACTTGAGATTCAAAGCTAAAAATTATTTGCGCGCATCCACTTTTTCTTATTAATTCAGGGAATACATATGCAAATTTGTTAAATTTCAAAAATGAGAGAGATAGGAAGGGAAAATCCCTGGTTGGTGAAGGAACAGGTGAGAAAATGTATTCTACGGACAGAAATATTTATGAAAGTGAAAAGGTTATTACATTATTTTTTATTTCCAGTCATTTAGATTTTGTAAAAAACGATCGGTCTTTTTATTTTAGATTCAAACAACGCAGCTAAGTTTATCAAGGAGCTTAAAGCAAACATTTTGCCCAACCTGCGCCATCTAACAACTCCCGGTGTAACTTGAAACTGCAAAAACTTCGAGAAGAAGGGGAAAATCCATCTGTTCCCGCTCCTCTTCACTACGGGATCTCGCGAAAAAATCTCTATAGTCATTCAGATACGATACTGCTGTTCAACCAACTTTCTTTCTTTCACATCTTAGAGTCAAACACTACGGATTACTCGGCTTCACAAAACATATACTTGCTTTCTGCAACCATCAATGCGTGTAGTTGAGTCATTCCTCCATAGATGGACGCTCACGGCGATCATAGCGAGCAAATGTGGAATTAACTATTTGCACCCTAAAAACTACCTAGTCTGCAAGATGACATTTTATTGGTTCTTTGACGTTTTATAGGTTTTTTACTATAGACGTCCCGATTCATTATTGCCAACGTGGCAGACTAACACAAAAAAAATTCACTTGCTGATCAGCTGTTCATCTTAGTAGACGTCAAGCGTGATGGATACTCGTGAAATAAGGTATACAGGGGGTGATGGTACACTTAACATAATCTCGTATTGGGGGCTTATTGTAGGTATAATGTGTACACGTGTAATGTGTAATTCTGCACAAAAAAATCTTGGATCGAGCACTTTTTATATGGGAATTTGTTTTTCCAAAATACCATTTTCCAGCAATACCTTGACGTTAAATAACACAAAACAAGTGACGTTGAGAATATAGCACAAGAGATATATGATAATGAAAATAAAAGAATTAAAAGGTTTATTTGCTAAAAATACGTGAATAAATAATCTAAAACAGCATCTTGTAGAAAAAACGACAATTCAATAAACTAATTATGTAAAATTAATAAAAATGGGCTAATACATGAACGAAAAGAATATTGTGTGACATAACATAATAAATAATCTAAGACAACAAATAAAAACAGTATTTTCTGGAACAACATAATGAAGGTCAAATAAACTAAAAATACAGCGGCGCTGTTAAAATTTGCATCCATTCTGTCCTGTGATCGATCATCAATATTCTGTGGTCTCTTCACCAACGTCACTTGTTTTGTGTTGCTTTTGACGTCAATGTACTGCTGGAAAATGGTGTTAAGGAAAAACAAATTTCTATATAAAGAGTGCTATATCCAAGATTTTTTTGTGCAAAATTACAAACTACACTGTTGTGTACATGCTAAACCTGCAATAACCCCTAAATGAGGTTATGGTATGTGTACCATCACCGAATAATAGATTACGTGCTACTGTTGTTTTCTCCAGGGAATATATCCAGACAACTGAGTGCTTCAGGATCATGTCTAATGCGTTTGGTGATCATGGCTAATGTTAGTTTGAGAGATTCTCTGATAATACTGGTATTCTGTAGTTGAAAAAGTCACGACAGTTTCTATAGGTGTCAAGCTTGAATATGTACTTTAACATAAAGGGTTGTTAGATTTCTAAATATTTATAACTTAATAAGAAGCAGATAAGAATGAATCGAAAGACAGATATTCTGATAATATACAGGATGTCCGCAAAGTTGGGGTTTTTTCCTTTA